ATTATTTTCTTTAGTATAAATAGTCTTTTCAGTGTAATTGTAATTACAATTGATTACATCATTAATCAGAAAAGGTGATTTGACAGCAATTATTCTCTCTCTCCAATCTATATTGAATTCATATTCTGTTCTTGAGATTTAATGAAGATTGCTTCAAGATTCGTATGAAATCTGGACTTTTCAGGTTGTTAAAACGGCTCCAAACCGATCAACCCGGGCCGTGAGCACCCCTATCTACAGTTAATTACACGAATTTAGATATGAAGCTTTAATAAGTTGTACTTATGCATAATCTATTTGCAATCTTGAGTTTTAAGTAATATGTATTAATAATCAATATTTTACGCATAAAAAATGATTTTTAAGAGTTTTTGTCAAATGCTTTATAATATAGTATAGATTTAATTTAAGTTTAATAATGAAATAATTTATTTTTGGTTTAATAATATAACATTTTATAAAAATAATAATTAAGTATTCTGTTAGMWTCAATGATTATCCTAATTATATTTTAAATTTTTTATATTTAAAATGAGATGTTTATCCTGTATTTGATTATGTTTATCTGCAATTAGTTACACGAATTCAAATATGAAACTTTAATAAGTTGTACTTACGCACAATATACTTGCAATCTTGAGTTTTAAGTAATATTCATTAATAAACAGTATTTTACGCATAAAAGTGGTTTTTAAGAGCTTTTATCAAAAGTTTTATAATATAGTATAAATAAATGTAATAAATACCATGGAAAAAATGGTTTATATTTTAAACCCAAAGCGTCAATAAAATAACAAAAAAACAAAAAAGTAAAATTAAAATGAAGATGCATATTATATATATATATATATATATATATATGAGAAAAGTCTAGAAAAATCCAATGGACTTTATTATTTGGAACAATTAAGTGTTTGGATAATTTTTTGGAACAAATAAATCCTTGGACATTCTGGAACCTATTAAATAAGTAATTGAATTTTTTAAAACATGTTAAATAAATCCTCATTCCTTACAAATGTAACTTGTAACCTGAATAGAAGGTAACCTTAAATTAAAAAAAAAAAACTTAGAAAATCCTAAAAAAATTGGCGCAACTTTTGGTATATTTTGGCGTAACTTTTGGTATATTTAGCGTCATTGTTGGTATTTTTTGGCACAACTTTTGGTATATTTGGTGCAATTGTTAGTATTTTATTTGCGCAACTTTTGTTACATATTTTTGTTCAACTTTTGGTATATATTTTGGTTTAATTTTTGGTAAAATTATGTCCAAAATTTGTATGCAGATTATTATGCTTTGGATACAACTTTTGTATATTTTGCGAAGAGTAATGAGAATGGTATATTTGTTTTTTTTATAAATGTAAGTACTTTTTTCATTCAAAAAATGTCTAAGAACTTGATCGTTTAAAATATAAAAGTCCATTGGTTTTTTCGAACTTTTTCCACTAACAAAATGTATTTAACAGATTTTAGAAAGTCCAATGACTTATTTAACATGTTTTGTAATGTCAAATGACTTATTTAACATGTTCTAAAATATTCAAAAATTTATTTGTTCCAAAAAATTGTCTAAAGACTTGATCATTACAAACAATAAAATCTATTGAATTTTTTTAGATTTTTTTATTCAATCTTGTTTTTACCGTGTCTCCTTCATCTTGCTTTTCACCCTACAATTTCACCAAATTTCTTAAATCTCTCTCCTCAAACTGCTTCACCGCCGCCGGCGAGGCTCTTCTTTTTTACTTTCCCGATCGTTCATATCTCACTTACTTTCGAGGTGCTTGGATCAACCTAACAGCATACGAGTTTATGCCATGGAAGATGGGGGAGTTTCTACAGAGCTGTTTTCTTTTCACAAACCTCGAAAACGTAAGATCCCATGGCTCTGCTCTTGCCCTGATTGTTGGAATCGGTGGTCTCGGAATTGTTTTTTCAAATTATAATCAGGTGAATCTAATTCCTTCCATCTATTTTTCAATTTAGTTCACATTCACAGCTAGAGTTTATTACGAATCATTGCTTTATTTTTACTCAAATTAGACTGATATTTGTGGGATTTATTACAAATCATTGCTAAAACACAACAATTTATTCTCGTATCTGAACTTTTACTTGTTAAATATTCTAGGGTTTTCAAAATTGGGTTTTTTAATTCATATATTTGTGCATATGAGGGTTGGTTTCATATAGTTGCATATGGATATGTAGATTCACACTTGGTTATATGTACATGGTTAATCTTAGTGATGGCCAAACCGGCCCGGCCGGACCATCGGAGGACCGAGACCGGTAAGGACCGGTTAGAGGACCGAAATATGGGACAGGTTATGGATTTGGGGTGTTTCGCGGGACCGGGACCGGTTATGGACCGGACCGGCCCGACTCGATTTTTTAAAAATTAACTGTTTTTTTTAAAAGATGTAGCCTTTTTTGGGGTTTTTTTGTATTTTTTGGGGACAGGTTGGGACCGACGGCCCATAACCGGTTACAATAAAGCTTGACCGGGCTCAACTTTTTCAAGCGGGACCGGGACCGGTTATGGCCGGTTATGAGAAATCTTGGGACCGGTTAAGATCGGTCCGGTCTGGGATCGGTTTTTGGCCAACACTAATGGTTATTGGAAAGTGGGTTCTTTTTATATGGATGTATACATATAGATTAGGAATAATTGTTATAACCACCACATTGAAGTGGTATACATCTGATTTCACCATTTCTTAAAGAATTTGCCAAAATGACATATTTTTTCGAGTACAACTTGTGAAAAATATTATTTTACGAGCTATAAGGATAACGTCCCCACCGGCTATATAAGCCTTTTTCAAACAATGACCGCGCTCTCTCTTTCTAAAATGCGAGTCTTTCTCGACGAATAGGCTCGTATCATTTTTGGACTTGATCATAATGGCAAACGTGGTAAGCTATCGATTTTCRCTWGTTYTGTATCGATGAAGCATAGATTACACATGTTACGACCAAATTAAAGGGATTTTTCTTAATTTGCGAGTTTGGTAAGATCTATTTAAGTGTGTAGTTTGTAGCTCGCGCAACCCTAATTTCTTACTTTGCAAGCTACAGTTTTTTGCTTTAAATACAATATATTTGCGTTCGTTTGATGCTTAATCCGTGTTGCTTGTTTGTTTGGAAGATATAATAGTTATAGCTCGCATAATATGAAATCTACATTCATATTTGCGAGTTACACGAATTATTTTAAACCCAAATCTATTTACGTATGTTAGCTATTTGTTGTGATGAGACATGTTTTGGGCAAAAATAAACCGCATCTCCTTTAAAATTGAAAACAACTCACAAATTAAGTAACTCACTCTTATTTTGCGAGATTTGTTCATTTTTTGATCATTAATGAAGTTGGCCTTTTAGCACATCTCCAATTGAGGTTCTGAAGTTCGTTAAGACACCATGTCTTGCCATTAAGTTAGAAGAGTTGTAGCTTCTTTCGACATTAAAGTTGTTAGAAGAGGCTTAAGATAAGTGCTTTGTGTTCATTAAATGTTCAGGTTATACTAACACGCGCACATATACACGTGTATACTGACACACAAAAGAACATGTGTTGTCCCACATTACCCTCCACATTCCGCTCTCAATGAATCTCCTGGCTCTCTCAATCACCGGCAATTCACGAGAGAAGAAATTGCATGCGGTTCCGAACCACTTTTAGAACAAACTTTGGTAGTCCAAGAATCAATGAACTTCCTATCTTACATAACTGAATTATTTTGCAAGATGGAAGCAAACACCTATCTTGATCTCTCGTTAAGTAAGAGACAAAAAATTACCCGTCTTTCGAACAGAAAAGCTGAAATTTCTCCTGTACCAATGACACGAGTTTCTTAAGGGCACAAGAATAAGCTAGAAAATAGATGGTAATCATCAGCCAGGGAAAGTTACTAATAACAAACTATATTGTTAATACAATCTCTCCAAACTGTGTTTCTTCTGCTGCATAAGGATGACTTTTTTGGGTTAAAGCTAATGTGCATGTCTTACTCATATATATATATATATATATATATATATATAAACATATATTTATATATTTCAAATAGTTTCTGATCAGCGTAACAAACTTGTAGAAATGAACACTCAATATAATGTTGATGAGTTTTCATCGTTAAACGAAGTACATGCACTATGGAGCTTGACAAGAGTTCGTGTGGACTTTGTTTGGGAACAAAGACTACTCATTTCTCTAATTGATCAAAACGTAAGTTAAAAATATTCACATTTTAATTGCACGGTAAAAAAAAATTTAAAGCTATTTAGCATTTATTTTATTATATTTTACTAGAGAAATATGGTAGCAATTGTTCATCATATTCCTTTAATTCAAATATACAACCAAATGAACTTGGTGGGAGGTGTTTTTTCTTTGAATCGTTTCGGAATTGAATATAATCACGGTGATGTGAGGAACGAAGGTTATATGCTCACCTTCAATGAGTTTTACATCCTAATTTGCCGAAACACAACCTTCATTCCGTTGTTGGGGGATGTCGAAAATGGCTTTCCATTCTATCCGTTGGTGCCTTCCATAAGAACTCTTGTAGAAGATCGGAGTATGTGAAACTTCATGATTGGTACATCTAAGTTATTTGATACATTTATATTTTTAAAACAATAAAATCATGTTTGATAACGTAAATCTAATTTTTAAAATATGATATTTTTTGTTTTAGATGTTGTTGGGAAAATCATCTCGGGTTGACGAGTAAGATCTTTCCGAACTCATGGTTATTTGCGATTTGGATGCTTTGAAATGTTTCTCCAAGATGGACTGTAAGTGTGTATATTATTAATCAATTAACAAATTATCATAGTAAGTAACATTTTTGATACTCATAGTAGGGGAAATATAATAAAGATGAAGTTGTATAATTTGACACGATTCCGTTTTATGGAGATACACTACAAGAAAAACGACCTTCAGAGAAGCTTTTGTTTTGTACTTAAAAGTTTCAAAAGCTTATCTAAAGACTTTAAAAAAGCTTTTCAATTCCGTCAAAAAGCTTCTCTATATAAGGGTAGGTAAAGGCTTTCGAGAGGGATGTGAAAGGGTGTGTGTTTGTTAGCCTTTAGAGACACTTATTTGAGGCTTTAGATACACGTCCAAAACTTCTCTAAAAGCTAGTTAACTTTTTATTCAAAGGTTATCTAAAAGTATATATATTAGTGACGCTTTTAAAGTATTTGTGACGGTTTATAAGAGTTACTAAAAGATACTTTTAGAGAAGGTAATGGAAAAGCTTCTCTAAAGATATTGGCTTTAGTGACACTTTTAAAAAATCTTCTCTAAAAGTCTTCGTTAGTTACACTTACAAAATCTTCTCTAAATATGATATTTAGATACACAAACTCAAAATCTTCTCTAAAAAATATATTATATATTTATTTCATCCATAATTCAGCTGCATATATATATATATAGAGAGAGGCTGGTTCAAATACTAGCCACCTATTTTGTACTAACCATGCTAACCCGATCTTGGCCATTGCTTTGAACATCTAACGGATGTGTTTTAATTAGAATAAATATTTAATTATTTAATTAATATATTAATTAATGATATATGAAGTAAAAGTATGAATGAGGCTGAAGGATGTAATGACCGTTGTACAAAAATCAGGTGATGCGGGGGCAATGTTCAAGATAAGCTTCTTAGTGATAGTCATCAACACCCTTGCGGAGTGTAGCCGGGTCGGTGTCTGCAACCTGCGTTTCTTGTCACGTATTCGGAGCTTAAATATGATTCCACGGATCAACTGGTGTAAGTACATATTTGATTGTATTGCAACAAGTAAGAAGTGTTGGAATAGAGACAGCCATATGTCTTTCTACGCAGGCCCCTTGACATGTTTGACTGTAAGTTATTTTGTCATAACACATTTCAATAAAAGAGGTTTAATATTAGCGCAAAAACAAACCAACTAATCTATTAATCCTTTACAGTTGCTGTATGTCCATAATACCAAGTGTGAACACATCCAGATTCCAAAGATACACATCCAAATCTCCAAAGATACACATCCTATGAAGGCTTGGACAATGGACCTGTTGCGGAAAAGGCAAGAGGTGGATATTAGACGTGGCGGATTTGGATACGCTGAAATGAAACATATATCCACCATCCAGGATCGAGCATGCGAGAAAGGTGTTGAAGTGGGTAGCGCATCAGAAAACGTGGCGGAAGCAAGTGCAAGATATCAAGCCGAAGATGGTCGTATCACTAAGGAGGTAACTTGTAAACTGTTATAATTATGTTTCTGTTTTGAGTGATATTCACGTGAGCTATTATACTTTCATATAGGGGATGTGTGTGTATATTGTCTATCACAAACCACGTTCACCACATTTTTCTGATTTAGAACGTGCAAGATTCAAAAATCTGAGAATCTTAAAACCCATCATATAACTAGTATGAACAGTATATGTTTTTTATGTAAGTAGTAAATAACTGTTTTATATGGGCTGATAACGTTTATGGAATGGACATTAGCAAGTATACATTGTCTGATAACATCTTTGTATATGGGTTATGTGTGTATATAAATATACAAATAACTCCAATGCTATTGTTAACATTTCATACCTGTTAGCTATGGGAACTTTTAAAATATAYGTATACATGCTATTGTCCATTCCATAAATGTTTTTGTATGGGAATTGTGTATCAATAAACATGGTTCATATCTTTAGCTTTCGTGCAATTTGAATATGTTGGGTTAACGTTATCGTGATATTATATGATAAAAATTAGACTTAGTATCSATKGTTATGACATCCACCATCCAGGATCGAGCATGYGAGAAAGGTGTTGAAGTGGGTAACGCATCAGAAAACGTGGCGGAAGCAAGTGCAAGATATCAAGCCGAAGATGGCCGTATCACTAAGGAGGTAACTTGTAAACTGTTATAATTATGTTTCTGTTTTGAGTGATATTAATGTGAGCTATTGTACTTTCATATATGGGATGTGTGTATATTGTCTATCACAAACCACGTTCACCACATTCTTCTGAGTTAGAACGTGCAAAATTCAAAAACCTGAGAATCTTAAAACCCATCATGTAGCTAGTATGAACAGTATATGTTTATTATGTAAGTAGTAAATAACTTATTTCTTCCTGTTGTATACTGTGTATTATATTCACATAGTATGAACAATATATGTTCATTATATGTATTGAATATAAAAATGGACTGCTGTGTTATATAGCGAGTATGAACAGTAGTTGTTCATTACATGATCATCGTTATTTCTGTCCTAGTGTTCATTATATGGTGTGGAGGTAGCATGAAAAGCAATTGTTCGTTATGTATACTAAAAATAAAAACAACAGGTACTATATGAACGGATAACATCAATATGTGTTATATAACGAGTATGAACAGTAACTGTTCATTACATGCTCATCGTTATTTTTGTCCTAGTGTTCATTATATGGAGTGGAGGTAGCATGAGAAGCTACTGTTCATTATGTATACTGAAAATAGAAGGAGCAGGTACTATATGAACAGATAACGTCAATATGTAATGCTTCCTGTAGATAACTAAAATCAACATGAACAGCTACTGGAATGAACATCTAATGTAAAAAGAAATGCACACATATATGTGTTATATAACGAGTATGAACAGTAGCCGTTCAGTATATGATCATCGTTATTTCTGTCCTAGGATGATGTATGTCTTGTACTTAATGTCAATTAAAAGCTTTACATATTTTATGGACTGCATTTCTACATTAAATAAAAAAACAAAAAGGGCACATGTTTTCCTTAAATTCTTATGTAACCTAATTGGCCACTAAGACCATAGATGATTTGGTTATCATGTGGTATTTGTTGTGAAGATGAATTGTTTCATTCCGTTATATGAAGCAAATACAAATTCTTGCGTAGTTTCAATCGACTGCATGATCTCTTGGTTTTGCTTATAGCAACTGTCCATTATGTTCACTACACCCCGGTTGTCAACAACTCTGAAAAGTGGTTACTAGTATTAGTTAAAATTGATCTATGTCGAGGATTTTCGACTTGGAACATTTCATCTCACTCTCCGTTGAAGGTCCAATGAATTGACGTTATTTTTCCCTGCATGCTCTAAATAGTTCCAAAAGATGACAGCCCAACAAAGCAAAACGAACCCGATATATCTCATACAGAGGTTGATGTGTAAGATGTATGCAGGCTGTCACAATACAACTGTTTCATGTAATAGCTAATATATGTAAGAGACAGGACACTTTAACTGTAAATATTTTTAGAGCAGTTGAATACACTATCCACATTCTATGTGTGTGTGTCTATGCATTATAAACTTCACACAAAATAAGGGTAATTTTAATAATAACTTTGTATGCGTCGGTTAATAACATTTTTAAGTTATGTGAAACCTGTAAAATGAAATATGTATATTTTTTTATGTACATTGTGTTACCTTCTACTTCATATATATGTTTTAATACACATTGCATATGTTGTTTTTATTATCGTATTTTGGTTGTTTTTGCCAAGGAATGCATGAGGGTGATGCGGAAAAAAGTTGATCTTTATTCGGGAAGAGTGGAGGCGGACTTGATGATGGATTCGTTCATTGAACGTTTCCCTGGTGAAGCTGATTTTGATGAATTCAAGATAAAATTAGCTTCTTTGTTTAAAGGTAGCAAGTGGGATGCACCCCCTGTTACGAGCCAAGTCCATGACCTCCCAGATTTGCTCTCACCCTTGTCTCGATTCTGGACGAGCCCTTTGGTGATTGCGGAGGTTGATAGGGCATCCAATGAGAAATCGATACAGATAGCAAAGGAAAATAGGAGATTTACATGCTCTGTCGAAAGGGAGACGGTCGGGATTCCGTCATTACAAGTACAGAAGGAGAAAGTTGGGATATTACAGAGTAGAAAGTGGTGATCAGAATGAGTTTCGAAAAAGTAAGATATGTAAGCGAGCGGAAAGCAGTGACAAAACAATTGATTTGTATGGAGGTATCGAGCCACCATCATTTGATTTGGGGATTAGTCCATCGGGTTCACTTGTAGTTGCTGTCGGGGATGCGTTGACTACATCGTCAATGCAGGAGGCTGCGTGGCCGACGTTGTCGAAGAGGGATCCGAAGCTGAGTTTCAAGCTACGTTCACCTTATGTTACGCGTGTTGTTACATTCGACGTAACAAGTGATGAGCGGAAGTTACATGATTGGATTCTGAGGGGATTGGCGGAATACTGTAAGTTGTAATTTAACGTTTCTTATTTAATTTAAAGTATTCTTTTATGTAAATATATGGGTTCTATGTTTTCAATTATTTAATGTTTTAATGTTTTCGTGACCACATACGGAAGAACAATAACACGGCAGGCGTTGCAATCTCTTGCATCCCAGTCCGTAGTATGCCGAGATGTGTTGGACGGGTGGTCGACGGTACTAAACCGAGATGAAAGATTGCGGAGCAATCAATCCCCCAGATGCTATTTCTTTACGACAAGCGTTTCGGTAACATCATTCAACATACACCTTTTTTTGTCATACCATTATATAATATCCATTGTCTTCAATACAACTTACGGATTTGTTATGGGTGCAGATGGATCTGACCATGAGGGACCAGACTTTGGACATTCACCGGAGATATGAGACTTCAAAAACAACCTGTCAAGTTGCACAAACAATGATATGGAGCTCGTTAGTATGCGCAACGTTGACATGATACGTATATGACATTTGTTGGTAATATTATCGTAAAATAGAGTAAAGGTACATTGAAATTATAAACGCTAGCTTACATATTTATAATTCCAGGTATTCTTCCAGGTTGTGGAGGAATCATTCTACTACATTGTTGTGTTTGATCTAAGACGACCCTTCATCATTATCATTGACTCAAATGATCGCGATGGCAATGTTGATGATATATACGGTCCTAGTCCGGTAATTTTGGTAAGTTACCAGTATTAGTTATCGCATTCTACATGTTTCATGAGTACCATATTTTATCTTGTCAAATTTATGATTGATTCAGCAAGACATGGTGATACTTCACCTTTTTAGAGAAGGCCACGATGCGGGGAAGGTTTATGCTGAGATGGATCAAGAGCGAATAAGGACAAGGTGGCAGTCAAATGAGAGCTCAGTTGATTTGGGTGTAATGATGATGCGACATATGGAGACTTATTTTGGAGCCGATGGAGGGAAATGAGAATGCGGTCTTTACAAAGAGAGTACTAAACAAAAAAAACTGTTGAAGGATCTACGAACAAAGTATTGTTYGAAGATCCTACTGAGTGACGAAAACATCCAAAAGACATCAATCATAAAGGAAGTGGAAAGATTCATTGCGATGGAGACGTCATTTAATTCGAATAAGACACGTGGGGCTACCCGAATCGGTCGGGGGAAGATGTAGACGGCATATGTAGATGGATTTCTCAATGCTTTTTTGAATCTTTCGTATTTACCTTATTTATAGTACACTAGTTGATGCTTYTGATAGTGCCTTCGGTGTTATCGTTACATTACGTACATCTTATGGTGTTTTTGTTTTTTTGGTATCTCAAAGTATGATAAACACTATTTCTACGTTTTAGTTACTCGGTGGAATGATATATGAATAGTTGGAATTAGGTTGATAATAGGGACTAACTTGATTCTTTAGCATTGCACTTAAAGTGTTCCTGCTTATTTTTTTGTATTTCATGAACTGCAGAGGTTCCTTGGTACCATGCTTTTTTTTTTTTGGGTTTTCGCATATGTACTACTACCTGATTGTTCTCGTACGCTGTATTTGTTACATGGAATTTATTGTACAGGGCAAAAAAATTTCATTCCATGTATATAACTATTATATGATTTATAGATACGTTAGACAGGTTTTAGGGGCATTCTGATCATTTTAACAGTTTTGTCCCTGGATTGTCCAAATTACCAAACACTGTACCTGCAATTTGTTTAGTTGTGTCTTAGTTGAACCAAATACCATACAAACAACCTGTCCTGTCGAGATCAGTGGATATACTATATGTGTACCAAACTCTACCTCAGTGGGCAATATTTTCTCTTGTTACAATAATTGTTATTATAGTCTTTCAGTTACTGGACGCAACTGAATTGTAGATGTCTTTGGTTAGGATATCCATATTTATGTTCGTGCTATAAATAATGATTGTTAAATTATTACAATGTTTCATTTTGAAATCTGACAATGGCTTAATTTTCAACAATTCATGCAGCAAACAATCATCGGGATCCTAGCGTCAAGTCCGTGAAATTGCATGATGAAGTTGTAGTGGAACTGCAGTAGCACAACACTGCTGTACGGGTCTCCACGTTGCATACGAAATTGACTAAAGAAAAACTTTATAACTTCCAGGTACTATTCCAACTTGATCGCATATATAATGCATTAGTTCTTAAAATAAATCACATATCTATGATAGACCAATACGTAATGCCTAACCTTAATAATGCACAGTTTAGTGTTTATGCTACGAAATAAAGCATTGATAGTTTGTTGTTGCAATGGATAGCTGTTGTGATAATATATAATTAGGCCATGACACAAAATTCTCCCTCAAGTGGAATTTCCATTTCTAGAACATATGGCATCTACAGCATAGCTTTTTGCAACATTCAAATGAGGTTGTTGTTTGTTAACTGATCCAAATCTAGAGATTCCTGCATCATGCATGCTACAATGCACATAGGCTACTTTCTCCATGAAAATGAAGGCACTATCAACAACATCAACTGCTATATACAATAAATATTAGAATTCAATTTTCATATGTTTAACCAACTCTAATAATAAGATAAGGACCATCAAAAACCTTTAAGTTCCTAACAAGATAATGTTTGTGACAAGTAGATGATAATCATATCAAAAAACATACGTGCCGAAAATGTCGAACAAACAATATGTCAGCAAATTATAACGAAACGATAACACTCCTAACTACTTGAATGTAACTAATCTACCAATTCTGGGCAATTACGTGAGTCATGTCCACTACGTTGTCCACATGTTGCTCATCTTCGTTTTGATTTTTTGTTATTAGTCTGGATTTTTTCAGATATACTTACTAGTCTTTTACCAGTCTCGCATCCCTTGTTCCTAATGCCAGAAGGTGGTAGAATATCTACCTCATCTGGTATTGAAACACCTAGATGCTCCCTAATTGCATCAATCCTCTGTTGAGATGGGTCTTCATATGGAACTTCCTTCTCTATATCAACCATAAATGTGTCGAGATTTCTCTCCAATATAGACTTATCATTCCGGGCGATGCTTATGATCTCGTCAACCTTCGAATATACATCAATAATGCACTTTTCTTTTTCGGCATCAACCTCGCCGTAACGAACCCTTGCAGATTGTATCTGTACTGGAACTAACTGTCGTTTCCATCGTCGTAACACATATATATCTGGTATGAATTCAACTTCATCATTTATCAATACCTTGAACGCGTGACGACAAAGATAACCATTACGCGTGAATAGGTTGCACTCGCATTCGACAGTATCTGTTGAGTAATTACGATTCACCTAGATTACAAAGGTTTGCAAACAACCACAATCAAATAAAAACTTCAAAAACATAAAAAAATTGTTGTGCGGATTAGGGATATGATACCAGATATGTGATGTTCTCAGATGATTTCTTCCTCTTGTGGCTTATCACGAATGTCTTTAAGACATCCCGACATTCAACATTCTCTATAGCACAGCACAAGACAGCCTTCTTTATCTCCTTTTGTATGTCAAAAAACACATCCCGACTGTATATTCTTGATGCATAACTTTCTAAACGCAGCGGAGTAACAAATTTTGGATTAGTGGTTCTCGTTACTGTTTCATGAACAGATTGTCTGTATCTTTGCTTCTCTATAGCTATGTCGTAATTATTAAGGAATTGAACCAAATCAAACCAGTACGATTTGTATATATTAATATACGAATTCGAACTCTCGGATCTTGAGGTTGTTTTCATTAAACCAGACATTGGAGTGTCCTTGTAAAAGGCAGGAATCCACGAGTGTCGAATTGCATACATATCTGTGAACCAAGTATCAAACCCCAGATTGTATTGCTCGATCATCTCATGCCAACGGCGCTCAAACTCCGCTGGTCCAATATGTATGTTCCATACGAGCTTGTTGATTACTTTATTAAAATTAGGATCTTGATTTAGTGCGACACTGACCTGCGTGTATATGGCAACCACTAATGTAACACCCCCTAAACACCACATTTGCATATACACATATTTCATTTCATAGAAATATAGTTTACATCATAAGGTCCCACTAGTACAAGGATTACTATATGTACAAAATCTACATATAAAAATTTCCAAAACAAATCATGTACTATTACATGTAATGTAACATGTATCTTCAAAAGCAGACAACAGATTAGGAAAATAATCACATTTTCCCTTTCCCTTTTATATCCCCGGACCCTGCTATTCCTGCATTGCATAATTTAAAACAGAAAATGAGGGTTAGACCAGATGAGTCTAGTGATTAAATCCCTTCTTTGCAAATGCAGAGTGATGAACACCAAAATATGATAATGTAATTCCGCTTAGAAATATTTTGCAGTACAATAAATAATACAGTTCACAATATCATGCAAAATAGAGTACACCCAAGAACCTCAGTTCTATAAAATATCTCTGATTAGAGATCCAACGTTCCCAATATGAAACAAATATTGTAACCAAAACTTCTTGAATTAATAGACCATTCCTTTAAAAATATTAACAAAAAAGATTTAAGGCAATATTTGCCTGATATGACAAACCATTTTCCTCTTCTCAATAACATCTAAATTATTATTAAATAGAAATAATATCTTTAATTCATCAGGTCACAAAGAAATGATGACTCAAAGTTATTAAATCCAATTAGTAATAATAAGAGTTATAATATTATCCACATATGACAATGCCACCTCATTCCAAGTACACATCTCCTTGATATGTCACTCTTATTCTTCCATCAAAACAGGGCTACTTATCATAACAGACAAAAGTCACCACGTCTGAAAGTACCCATTCCCAGTTCCAAACCAGAATAGACAAAAGTCACCACGTCTGGGGGAACTATTACTTAAAACAAGTTTCATACCAAAACAGATTTACGTCACCACGCTTGGTAGAAACAATTTACAAAATCCACTTCCATACCAAAACAGACTTATGTCACCACGCTTGGTAGGAAGGTTTCCCAAAATATATAGTTTCATACCAAAACAGACTTACGTCACCACGCTTGGTAGAAACATATCTTTTTATTTTAAAAAGATTTAAAATACCTATTTTATAATCCATAATTAAACCCAATAATAGATATTTTAAACTATATAACAAGTCTAAAATATAAACTCAAGGAAAATTCCAAATAAAAAGTTATCCGGATATAAAGTCCCTTTTTGTCCGATTTACTAATCCGGACAACTCATCGCCCAAGACTTGTCCGATTAAACACTTGAAATTATTCCAACACTCTTGCCCGGATAACAAATCCGGACAATAACTCGCGAGCTATTCGAGATCGACTCGGTTAAAGCTCGGTCAACACTCGAATTGAATAGGCTCGACTCGAACTTGAGCTCGACTCCACATATTAACGAGTCGAATCAAGCTACCCAAAACTCGACTCGAAAAGCTCGTGAGATACTCGGTTATTTATATATAATTAGTTTTAAAATATAATCATTTTTTATGATAGAATTTGTAAAATTTAAATAATAAAAATGTCTTATATTTTTAGATATTTAAACAAAATAATGCATTTTTTAATTATAAAAATTAATCAATTATTTTTTTAATTAAAGTCAGTTAAAAAAAAAGACAAAGAAAAACTATAACAAAGATTAATGAAATTGTCCCACATTGGAAGAGAGATGGTAAAAGAAAAAAGAAAAGATGTCATAAAAAGAGAGGGAGCCGAATGAAATTTCTAACTTTGTTTTTTTGATGATTAAGTTTGAAGTTGATCTCTTTAGTTTTATAAACACTTAGAGAACACTTTTAAGTTTTAAAATTTATAAGAGAAAGACCCTAAAATTTCATAAATTTCAACGAGTGAGTTTGTTTCGAGCTTCATTCTAGTTTGAGTTCGAATTCAAGCTTGATTTGAGTTGTAGTTCGAGTTTGATTTGAGCTCGAGTTAGAGCTAAGTTCGAGCTCGAGTTTGAGAAATAGTTATCGAGTTCGAGTTGAGCTTTGATTTTTACTACTCGTGAGTTTTCAAGTCGAGTTCGAGTTTGAAAATTGGTTTTGAGTTCAAGTCGAATATGGTGATACTCGAGCTCAACTCGCATCATTTACACCCTTACTTGTTGAAATATTATTCTGGGTTAACTCTTAACTCATAATAACAAATGGTGTTAAGACTTATTCTTTTGATTTTTCATTAAGTTATGTATAGATAAAGTTGTTCTTATGGATTAATCTGTCTGTATAGATTAAGAATTATTTGACAATGTTTTCTAGTAGATGGAATGATCGTGTTTTCTAATCAGGAGGACAAGTTTGGGGAAAAAAAACTTGATTTTCCATATAAAGCTTTTCTCTTAAAAACTTACTGAATAAACCATTTTTTAAATATAAAAACCATTTCAAACATTTTTTTTGTATTTTGAAAACAAGTATTATGTATTAAATATAGTTATAAATTAATAAATAAGATTATTTATAATAATTTCGAAAAATTATTATTGATTAATTTGCATAAACCATGGACTTTTACTGTAATTGAAAAAAAACATATTGTTGAGTAATTAATATATATAATTTTATAAGTTATTATAATTTTTAATTTGCATAAACCATGGACTTTTAATGTTTAGTTTTCATTATTTGTCTCTGTCGATATAATATGATTTTATGTGTTTTTGATAAAGCAGTAATGTTTTTATTTTTGAATTATAATATGAATTTATAAAAAACATAAAAATTTATTAAAAAAATAAATCGATAATAGTATCAAATTAACTATTTAATAACAAAATAATTTATTTTTGGTTTAATAATATAATTTATTATAAAGATAATAATTAAACATTCTGTTATAACT